GGCTGGAAACTTTTGCCTAATTTTGCTCAGAGGTCTCCTAGAGACATTAGGATCTCTTACGTGCCGTAAATCTACGACACGGGACCCACGGCTTAAAGTCCCTCCCGTAGGACTTGTTCCCTGAATTGTTCCGCCCTTAGAAATTCCTCCGCCGGGTTTGAACACGCGTACCTTGAGTCATGAGGTGGGAACGTTACCCCTAGATTACGGAGGCCGCTGAGGTCTACCATAGTCACTCCAGTAGAATGCCTGTATACTACTCTCAAGCCGGACCACGAGTGGCTTCTTCAATAGTTTTTTCAGTTCATCCATTAATCAATAGCATCTTATCATTCAAGAGTAGCTAGTAGTGCCGTTATATAAGCTACAAACAGACTCATCTGTCAGTGAACAAAGATATGGTGATTTCATAACTTCGTAGTTATGGTCACACTAAGCCAAAGCTTAGGCCGCACCGTAGCTCAAGCGGTTAGCCGCTGGCTTTCCACTGTGGCGACCCGGGTTCGATCCCGGGTCTGGTCAAGTGGGATTTGTGGTGGACAAAGTGGCGCTGGGGCGGGTTTTCTCCGAGTACTTCGGTTTCCCCTGCAAGTCTTCATTCCACCAAATTCTCCATCATCATAATCACCCGGGGAAGGCTATAATAGGCCAATCAGTGGCCGCCGTGCCGAGTGGACCCAGTTGGACTCCACCCCCAACGAATTATAAAAAAAAAAAACTTTCCTAAGTTATTTAATAGGTGCTTTGTGCAATGAAGTGAATAATTTCACGCACTGTTAAGAGGTAGGTCTACTTTTCATAAAGCACCTTATTCGACAAGATTCGCAAACCCACTCTTTTAAAGGAGGGGAGAGAAATACCATAGTTTTTGGGGGGGGGGGAATGGAAGGACACATTCAGAGGGTGCACAGAAGCAAATACTGGGCCGCATGCGGCCAGCGTGTCATCAGTTGTGTAGCGCTGCCCTTAATCTTCAGTGTTGAATGTTAATTTATCTCCTAAGGTTGCACATCGTACTGACATGCTTTGTAAGATTTTAATGGGTAACATTTGGAGTACATCGGTAGGAAAATTGGTCGAATTCTACTCGGTTAAGAGACACTGAGTTTCCTGCTACTATGTAATAGTTACGAGGTTATATTAATTTTTATTTATTTATTCTATTTATAACTGTTTTCGTCACGCCTACGGCAAAAATCAAATTTATGAAAACATACTTTTGTGTAGAATTCAGCGAGTGTTCTGGAACTGATGTGCACTTGAATCATAACTCTAAGTACTTCATAGAAGAGCACATTATATCAAGGTAACAAGCGGAAACTTCATGGCCGAGTAAATGCACATAGCACATCCTACTGAATTGGATTTCAGCGAAAATACAGAATATCTGTTATTTTTCTTTCTGAAATAAAGAATAAAATTTAAGAACAGATATTCGACTTAACACATCTTACACTAGAACTGTAAATGCATGTAACAACTAACAGGTATATCCATCCCTCTCTGTAGAAAAATCGCCAAGTATAACACTTATCATAATCTTAACATCCATAAATTTACTTGGACATCCCTTGATGGGCAGACACACAATCAAATCGACCATATTTTGATAGATAGGAGACAGCATTCAAGAATACTTCATGTCCGATCATTCAGGGCAGCAGATTGTGATACTGACCACTACCTGGTGGTGGCAAAGTTAGGGAAAGACTGGCAGTGAGCAAACAAACAACATACAGAATTCATATGGAGAGGTTCAATCTCAAGAAATTAAATGAGGTAGAGGGTAAAGAGGAGTATTGTGTTGAAATCTCAAATAGGTTCACAGCTTTGGAAAACTTTGTCACTGAGGTGGATGTTAATAAAAAGGTTTGGAAACTATTAGAGAGAATATCAAAATTTCTGCCAAAGAGAACCTTGGTTATTATGAACTGAAGAAGCATAAGCCATGGTTTGATGAAGGATGCTCAGAATTACTAGACCAAAGAAAACAAGCCAAACTGCAATGGATACAGGATTCAAGTGAAATAAATAGGGATAATCTGAAATATATAAGACATGAAACCAGCAGGCATTTCAGGAAAAAAAAAAAAAAGAGGCAACATCTGAAAGACAAAATTGATCAGCTTACAATGAACAGAAAGAACAAGAACAAGAACATTAGAGATCTGTATAGAGGAATAAATGACTTTAAGAGGGGTTACCAGTCCAGCAGTAACTTAGTGAAGGAAGAGAATGGTGATCTGCTTTCAGATTCCCACAACATTTTGAATAGGTGAAGGAACTACTTCTCTCAGTTATTGAATGTACATAGGGTCAGTGATGTTAGGCAGACAGAAATCCATACAGCTGAGCCATTAGTACCTGATCCTAGCCCTTTTGAAGCTGAAAGTGCTATTGCAAAATTGAAACGGTATAAATCGCCAGGTAGCAGTCAAATTCTGGCGAAACTTAAGCAAGAGGCGAAATATTACGTTCTAAGATCCATAATCTAATTACTTCTATTTGGCTAAAGAAGAAATTACCTGATCAGTAGAAGGAGCCTATTATCGTACCAGTTCACAATAAGGATGATAAAACTGACTGTAGTAATTATCGGGGGATATCACTGCTATCAACTTCATACAAAATGTTATCCAATGTTCTTCTCTCAAGGTTAAGTCCATACATGGATGAAATTATTGAGGATCATCAATGTGGGCTTCGACGTAACAGATCAACTACAGATCAGTTCTTTTGCATTCATCACATATTGGAGAGAAAATGGGAGTACAATGAGACAGTACATCAGCTATTGTTAGACTTCAAGAAAGCCTATGATTCCGTTAGGAGGGAAGTGTTGTACAATATTCTGATAGAGTTTGGGATGCCCATGAAACTAGTTAAGCTGATTAAAGTATTGTGACGTGTTGCGCTAGGCAGGCCACCCCTCCCCCTGCCAGCGGTGACGTAACACCATCGGATCGCTGTCGTTACTAAGGTAACAGGCAAGTCAACACTCCTTCGCCTACCCCGCCAGCGGTGACGTAACACGGAATGCCGCCGTTGCTACTCGGCAGTAAACAACTCCTGATAGCGTTGCTGGGCTGTCGGCAAACACGGCGTCAGACAACAGTGGTGCCTATTACGTAGCTCTTTTCTGTGTTGTCCGTAACGGGGCTAAATAAGGAGCAGCGAAGACTATTCAAGAGTTAGTTACAAGTTGGCCAAGGAAGAGTAAGCAGTCTAGTATTTGTAATACTGCAGATAGCAGTAGTTGTGAGATTGTAAACTTTGTGGTTGTATGAGCGAGTGTGCAATAAAATTCGCTATATCCAATAAGGCGTGAAGTTATTTGTCGCGTTATATACCCAACACGTGACAATATGTTTAAACGAAACTTATAGTAAAGTTCATATAGGTAAACATTTGTAAGATATGAGGTTTAGCCTCACCACCCCAAGTATTTCCAAGAATCCCTTTTGGAGGCGTAATAAGAACGCAAGTAGGTGGCAACTGACAGACAAGTGTAAGGGATTTCTACCTTCAAAACTAGCTTGCAACCCCCAGCCATTGTCTAATGGGCTGCTAGCAAACTTTTTACTTTTATGACCGAAATACACCTTCCTTCTAGTCTAGTAGTCTCTTGTACATTGTCATTCAGTTTATTTTCACACGGCGACAGGTGCTGATGTTACACTGTGATGAACGTATAAAGGTTATAATTAAACATTAAATTATCAACTACAAGTATCAAAATCTAATGTATATTTCTATTTTGAAGTGCGGCCCTGGACTATTATTTATAGGGCTGAGGTGGCCCTCTGTACAAGTTGAGTTTGACATGCCTGGTCTAAGACAAGGAGATGCTTTATCGCCACTACTTTCCAAATTTGTTTAGAATATGCCATTAGGAAGGTCCAGTAAAGCCAAGTGGGACTGAAATTAAACGGGACACATCAGCTGTTGGTCTATGCCGATGATGTGAATCTACTGGGTGATAACATAAATACCATGAAGAAAACCACACAAAATTTAATTGATGCAAGTAAGGAGGTTGGTCTAGAAGTAAACACAGAGAAAACTAAGTATATGTTGCTGTCTCCTCACCAAAATGAAGGGCAAAATCGTGATATAAAGGACACAGATGTTTTGAAAATGTGGCACAGTTCAGATATTCGGGAACAATGATAACAGATCGAAACCTAATTCAGAAGGAAATTAAGAGGAGGTTGAATTCGGGTAATGTTTGCTACCATTCAATCCAGAGCCTTTGTCATCTTGTCTGCTATCCAAAAACATAAAAATGAGGATATACAAAATTATAATTTTGCCTGTGGTTCTATATGGATGTCAAACTTGGTCTCTGACATTAAGGAAGGAACATAGACTGAGGGTATTTGAGAACAGGGTGTTGAGAATATTTGGAACAAAGAGGGATGAAGTGACAGGAGGTTGGAGGAGCTTCATAACTTGTACTGTTCTCCAAATATAATTATAATGATCAAGTGAAGGAGTATGAGGTGGGCAGGGCATGTAGCACGAATGGGGACGATGAGGAACGCATATAAGATATTGATGGGAAAACCAGAAAGAAGGAGACCACTGGGAAGACCAAGGTGTAGGTGGGTGGACAATATTAAAATGGATCCTAGAGGGATAAGATGGGATGGCATGGATTGGATTGATTTGGTTCAGGATAGGGAACAGTGGAGGGCTCTTGTGAACATGGTAATGAATCTTCAAGTTCCTTAAAATGCTGGGATAATCTTGAGTAACTGCAGATTTGGTTTCTCCTCAAGAAGGGCTCAGTTCCATGAGTAAGTAAGTAATAACTGTGAAAAATTTTGATAATAGTCATTGATACTTGCACTAGTCACATCATATAAATGCAATAATTCTGCATGTTCAGTCCATTACATGAAAGCAGATGAATAATTTTTGTCAACAACTTATATGCAATTGAGGTAAGGGCACTATGTAAGTTGATTTCTCTGTCATAATTTGTTCTGTTTTTGCAGGTATTGGAGAACGCTGCAACCGAACTGTAGACTGCTTCCCACAATATGAAACACTTTGCAAAAGCGGTCTTTGTAGTTGCCTTGAGGGTTACGTGCCTAAAGCCGATTCTTCTGGATGTAATCCTAGTAAGTTAGCATACTAACATGTGTTTCAAGGAAGCCGAAATTTGTTTCGTGATTACCTTCAAAGACACAGAACTGGACCCATTACTCATCATAAATTGGTTTACAGGAAATTCATCTTTCTTCTTTAATGACTGCATAAATATAACCACATATATTGAATATCTTCAGAGAAAACTGGATTTAAATGTTCATCAAAGAAAATTTGTGTTGATGCTTCAATTAAGTGAACCTTCATCTGCTAGAATATTTCGATTTTAATGTTGCATTTCTAACCACCTTATTCTCTAACCAGCCAAGTGCTTGGTCAGAAATGAAACCCCATATCTAGTTTGAATCTTATTCAGGTCACTTCTACTATAATTATTATAAAATTGTGTTAGTTTGAGGGTTAACAGCCATAAAACTGCACATTCATAATTCCAAATACTTTAATATTTTTCAGTTTTAGTGTGTTTAATATATATGAATATCAGACTAATGAAGGAAATGTTCTATCACAAATGTACGAAGGGGGACCCAAAAATAACCGGAAATGACCTGTTGCACACGCATGCTTTGTAGTTACGAGTTGTGCTGCTAGGTGGTGTTAGCTGGGGGTCTCCCGTGACTCTTAGTGAGCTGGTGTCAGTCTGAGTTAAGTGGTTTGTCTGTGGTGCTCTGTTGTGTGCGTTCCTGTTTCAACCCTTTGGCGATTAGTGAGATGGCCGACCAGAAGGAACAAAGAGTGTGCGTGAAATTTTGCTTTCTGTTAGGGAAAACTGCACTTCACTCTTCAAGTCGCAGCAAACATTCACGCGGTTTTCTCTTTGGTCATCTCCGAGCAAGCGAGGAACAAATTTTGCAGACACCCGTCTCATGTGCAAACCTTCGGTTAAAATTCTCTGGACCGTGCTCCATGAGATGTTCGTTTCCTCAGAAAGTTGGTCAACGGTCTTTCGACGATCTTCATCAATTTCACGCACACTCTTTGTTCCTTCTGGTCGACCATCTCACTAATCGCCAAAGGGTTGAAACAGGAACGCACACAACAGAGCACCACAGGCAAACCACTTAACTAAGACTGACGCCAGCTCACTAACAGTCGCGGGAGACCCCCAGCTAACACCACCTAGCAGCACAACTCGTAACTACAAAGCATGCGTGCGCAACAGGTCGTTTCCGGTTATTTTTGGGTCCCCCCTCGTATGTCTTATATATCCTGTCTGAGACTCCATGCTATATAGCACAATATTGTAGGAACTGTAATGAATAATAAATTATAAAATATTTGGGAGGAAGTGGTCATGGCCTAATTGGAGGTGCCAGAATTTGTCTGAAGGGACTGATGAAATCGATAAAACCTGATCAGGATAATCACTCAAGGTGCTAAGATTTGAACCTGGGAGATCCTATGTATGAAGCCAAAGTGCTACCCACATAACTGCAACATTTGGTTGTTTAAAAACATTCAACACACATGTAAATTTTTCCCATTAATACAAATAAACTTTCAAAGAAAGATAATTTCAGACAGGATAAAAAATGTTCACATATGTTCATGACTATCAAAGTTTATTACAGACAATCACTTTGTGCAGATAAAACAAGGGGGAATGAATGAATGAATGAATGAATGTAAGTCTGACATGTGAAATGATAATTCTTTATATTGTGATGAAATATTTTTTATTTACATAGCTGTCAAGCATGGTGGGAAATGTGAGGAGTCTGTGCAGTGTAATTACTCAAATGAAACAGTGTGTCAGAGAGGTACATGCCAGTGCAAGACCAGGTTCAGTTACAATGGAGAGCGCTGTGTTGGAAATATTAGTAAGTATAGGGTATATATCAGCAACAGAGATTACAATGTTGTAATGTAATAATACATTATTCTTCATTGAAAATAAAATAATGGTTTTAGTGTATTCCCCTCAACACATGACAAAATCAAACAATTATCTAACAAAAGCTTGTCCAAATTTGAAACCCAACCTCAGTTAATAACACGAAGTACCACATAGATGAAAACGAAAAGTATGATTCCAAACACACAAAAGATATTACCACTGGCATATTTGACAATAATGTACAAATATTTAACTTTGAAGAATCTGAACGTTCATCACCTTGTCCACATAACTAGCAATCAGACCCTCCTACTTCAATTAGTTCATACTCTTACAACTTATTTCTGTATGACGATACACATTCCACCTATCTAATATTTTCTCTCTTCTTTTAGTACCATTTCCATTTTATATGGGTCTGTAGACACACTATTTCCAACCCCTTTTGTTCTGACACAATCTTTCCTTATAAATATTTTTCTCTGACTAGATAATTTAGTTCTGGCTCATCCCATAGGGCAAATTATAATCTTATCCTTGCTGTAAAGCAATCAAAAGAGAACTGAATTATGTATTATCAATTGTATTATTATTAATAATATTGTTACATAATGGAGTCTTACTATAGTTAGGGTTTGGAATGGTAAATCAAATTTACTGAACACTTACAGAACATAAGTAGAAATAAGTACAAGTCTCGCTGAGTTACATGCTTCAACTAAAGCCTTCTGTCTTACGTAGCCATTCCTCAGTGGTGGAATCTAACAGCAGACATTCTCCTTCCTCTGGGTTCCAAAACTGTCCCCCACCTCTGTTACTAGCTTCCAACAGCAAGGAATAAACCACCTCAGTTCATCAACTCTTCACTGGCTCACACAACTGAACTGAACTCAAATCAAAACTCACCTCTATCCACTAACTGTCCTGCTTATAACATCTCAGTATGGTCCACAAAGAAAACACGTTTTCCAATTGTTGTAGTTCAAGTGTTGTCATGGAAACATGCTTGTTTGTGAAGCCATTACTCAGTAACTGCTATTGTTTATTTACTTATTTTGAAGTCGCTGCCCAACAATGGGTCCTACATGCCACAATATTATAAGTAGTAGTAGTAGTAGTAGTAGTAGTGTCAGTAGTATTAAGTACATTTTCTTTAACAATTTAATAATCAGTGAAAAGTAATGAACCAAATATAGAATTGGAACCGACTGAAGAATGGCCCTATTCTAATTACTTGGTATTTGACCGCACCATAGCTCAAGCGGTTAGTCGTTGGCTTCCCACCCCAGTGGCCCTAGTTTGATCCCAGGTCTGGACAAGTGGGATTTGTTGTGGACAAAGTGGTGTTGGGGCAGGTTTTCTCCAAGTACTTCGGTTTCTCCTGCCAATCTTCATTCCACCAATTGCTCCACAATCACCCTCACCTATCATCTGGGGCTGGTACAATAGGCCAGAAGTGGCCACAGAACAAGGGACTTAGTCCCACCCCACTAGCGATAAAAGAAAACTACTTGGCATTTGCTTATTATATATAAATCAAATGGATGCTCTGTGTTTATACAGACACTGTGAGTCCGGAATGGTAGCCCTTTATTGTAATTTACTCTTAACTCCTTGCACGGCAGACATTTGGATATACTAAATTACTGACAAGGGGTCCTTGTTCCTACTTAGGTAATTGTGTGTGGAGTTGAGAAGGGGCAGGACTGTCATATCCCTTCATTTGATCCTGATTCTAAGCACAAACAAATGACAATGATAGGCTACGGCAAGAAATCTTGAAGATTTCAGGAATACTCCTGTATTTTTTCCAGATATTCTCCTCAGTCTTCTGCTCATAGCTGTCAGTGTCCTTTATTCAATAACATACAAAGTTTTGCACCCATTTAAAAAGTAAACAATTGTTAGTTTTATTTAAGCCTGTTCTAATTTATAGCTTTTTAGAGAATGAACAGGAATACAACACAGATTCAGTACTAAACAGGTGCATGCATGTTCAAAATTAAATGACCTCTTTTGTTACTTCACTCCAAAGCACTTGAATATTGTAAAATTTTCACAAAATTTATTACCAGTTATGCTACATTTCTGCCCATTAATTCCACATGAGACTAAGTATACACTTAATATATTTAATGTTAAGTTCCAGATTAACATCCTTATTAAGGTACAGTGGTGGATATATGTGTTTTTATTTTTAACATCTATGTTTTCCTGACAAACTAGCATCACCAGCATGCACTAGTATCTGAAGTGATTCATTCTGTTTCAGTCCCTACCAGTTCTCATGGAATTTCCTAATTACTTTTTTCTATTTGAAATTGAAAATTAATGTTGATGATATGAAAATTTGGGGTCTATATAAGGTTCCTTGACTTTGCAGTTTCATCTAAAAAGACACTTTTCTTCTAAAATGTAGGAAAAAGTAATCTCATTTCTCAGCACTATTTAAACTCAACGATTTTCTTTATTATAGCCCTGGGCGAAGTATGTGATCATGACACTGAATGTGTAGCAGCACATGACCTGAAGCAAGAGACAGTGTGGTGTTTCAACAAACAGTGTTCTTGTAAACGTGGGTTCAAGAGAGAGGAGGACAGATGTGGTAAGTTAAAGACAGTATATGTCAATATGCAGAGATGTGCTACCAACTTGTTAAGGGCTTGAGCCAGAAAGCAATACTTTGTTTTTCATTCCTCAATACTGTAACGGATTTGAGCAATGAATTGTCAGGCAATGTTCCCACACACTGGTATACATTCATACACCTCACTGAATAGTTACTCATCATAATTTCAAACCCGAATCTTTATAAATAGATGTTTTGTCAAATCAACTGTGCTCATTTGTGTACAATCTTTTCATTAAATTATGCCTCTTTTCTTTTTCTGTCATGAATTGTTGGTATTATTATTGCTGTATGCTTTATTTAACATAATTATTTTACCAATATGAAATAGACATATAACTGATAACTCATTTTATTTTGCAGTTATTGGAGGAGACTGCACAGCTGACTCTGATTGTGCGGATCTTGGGAACTCAATGTGCAACTTACTGATGCGTGATAGGGCCAATTGTGCATGTACAGATGGTTTCATCCCTGTTGGAAATAATACCTGGTGCTTTCCAGGTAAGTTCCTTCAATAATTCTGAAACCCATAACCTCACCTGCTCCTAGAAATATGCAGAGACTAGTGGCATCCAAATATTTCTGACCTATTGTAACAGAGCAGTGGGGTTTTCAGTTACTTATCTCTTATTTGTCTCACGTTGTACAGTATGAACAGTACTAAAATGTAATTAAGACTAGAATATCTACACGCTTGCTTAAAATATAGAAGAAAACTATTTTATGTGTTATTAAAACTTATATCGCATTATTATAAATTACGTGTTTTGGCATACGAAACAATTTAATCTGTCAGTTATAGACATCTTCCAAAATCTCATTTCCTGGCGATGTGTGACCTATCCGGGAAAATATTTCCTTCGCCCTCATCTTCTCCCTCTCCCAGTGGGCTATTTTACGTTACTGTCAGTATCGAAACCACACTGCATTTGATGGTAGAATAACTGTTGCGTAATTGGAAGGATGCGGTTATGTCCTAACGGGAGTATTATTCCCACATTTGTCTGGAGGTACTGAGGAAAGTCATGGAGAACCTCTGTTATAATAGCCCACACCTCGGTCGAGATTCAAACAAAGCACCTCCTTAATAAAATTCCAGACGTTACCGCTAGACCAACCCCTTAGGTGATCATTTCTTCTTTCATTTCCTCATCACATGGCTGCTCACACCATTAAATATAGCAACAGGGAGACAGAAAAGAACCATAGTTAATTTCTTTTAATTCGCTAGTGGGTGGAGGAGTCCAGCTGGGTCCATTCGGCACGGCGACCACTGATTGGAATATTGTACCTGCTCCGGGTGATTATGATGCTGTAGAATTTTGTGCAATGAAGATTGGCAGGGGAAACGAAGTACTCGGAGAACACCCCCCCCCCAGCGCCACTATGTCCACCACAAATCCCACTTGACCAGACCCAGGATCGAACCCGGGCCGCGGCGGTGGGAAGCCAGCAACTAACCGCTAGAGCTACGGCGCGGCCAAAGAGGCATAGTTAATGAGTGAAAGAGTGTTCTAAGAGGCGTGACAGTGTCTTGGATATTTTGGTCAACTAAGCCACCGTGCATAAATCAGACTTACAGTGAGTTATAAAGGTAAAATATAACGCAAATGATTAAGACCTAAAACAGAGTTACGAATGAATAGGAAGATTGTAAGCGGCATTGACAAACTAACTTGTACTTGCACATAAGCCTGTAAATTTCAATACATGTGAGTATATACTCGATGAAACGAAATCCGTGCACAAGCTGTCCATAGTGTAATTCCTTATTGAAAAAGAAACCGAAAATATTGCACAAGATATGACCTGTGACGTTTAGTTTTCATGAAAACATCGCAGTCAAATGGTACAACCTATCAACTTATCAAACCATGGGCTCCCCGTAGTTACAATAGGTATTCGAAACGGCTTTCAAAGAAGCAGTGGTAAACGGTACTGGATTCTATAGAACACGCCTTAAAATGTTAGCATCAACCGTTGTCAAAGCTGCTTGAAATCTTGCCACCTGAGTCCTGGGAGGTACTGCATAACCGCATTCCTTCGAGTGTCCGAACAGCAAATAACCCGTCGAAGTTACATCCGGCGACCGAGAAGACTATGAGCTCGTCGTCCTATGCACCATCCTGGACAAGTTGTGTCCAACCACTGTCGGACCTCATAGTGCGCTGGAACTCCGTTGTGCTGAAACCACAACCTCTGCCTCATAGCTAGAGTCTTGCCTTCAAGCAGCCACGGCAGAACAGTTTTCAGAATGTCACGATATAGTTGATCAGTCTGCATCTCAGGTAGCAGATAGGGGCCCCGTAAAATGTTCTCAATCTTCACCAGCCGTTCTTTGGTAGAGGCTTCCAATGGCAGACGTTCTCCTTCCTCTTGGTTCGAAATATTCCTGGCCTTCGCTACTGCAACTCACAACTGACCCTCAGCCTGCAGACTCTCTGTTGACTTACTCGTAGTCAAAGTCAAAATTACTTTATGGCTGGCTGTTTACCGCCAATCAGTTCGTCTGGCGAAGAGATGGGCTTGTCTCTTATGAATATGTTTGGCCTTTCGTCAAGAATACGTATCGCACATATAGCGTGTTATTGAAAATTCTTTCTTGAGCACTATATACAAGTTCTCTGTCAGTATAGGCTTTGCAAAGCAGATCGTGTCTATCTTACGTATCTTATGATACAACGGCAGCTTTATCACTTGAACGGTCGTAAGCTCAACCTCATATATTGTCTATGTCTAGCTTCACCTTGTTCTATACCGCGAACATGTTCATTCTCGTGATTTTGTATAACTTCTGCTTACTGAAAACACAGTTTTTTGTATAATCATATACATACGGAATGTTGAAAGCCGTATTCAAATTGCAAACCTGCATGAACGTTGGACAATCTCCAGTGGTGCACAAAACCTTGTTTTGCAGGCGTTGTAATGTTGAGAGGTAGGCGTCTGCTGGTAATTCCCAGGCAGGACAAGCGAATGTTATTACTGATATGATCAGTTCCTTATGAAAGGTTAGTTTAATGTTGGCGCTTAAACGTCCATTTATGAGTAGGGAGTAGATTTTATTAAATGTTCTGAAGGCCTTAGCTTCAATCAATTTTATCTGCAGTCTCCATGTAATCCTCTTATCGGAGATTACACCGAGATATACTCGTATTACATGATTGATCAAGGAGTATTTCGCTCATTTAATGCAAGATGAGCCTCAGGGTGCCTAAGTCTATGGGAAAAGTAGATGGTCTTATTCTTATCTTATTTTTATGATCCAGGGCTCAAATTACGCCTCAATAGCATTGAGACCTCGCTGCAGCTTTCTGAGAACATAACTCTTTTTGCGGTCTATCTTATATATACAAGTATCATCAGCAAATAGACCTAGGTAAATATCATATGTTTGGGGCTTATCACATGTAGGGGTAAGCGTGACGAGAATAATAGATTCTAGATCGCATGATCGCATTTATTAACACTGCTGTTACAAGTTACGTCAATTATAACGCCATCGCTATTCTAGACGCTTTCAGTTCACCGCTGCACACGCACTAGGATTCTTCGTCTTCACTAGTCGTATCCTGGCAACGGATCTCAACACATAAATTAGCACTTCAAATCACTACGAAGTCTTCTTGTTATTTCGCCTTCAATCACTTTGTATTCCTCTGGCCTAACTAATCTTCAAAATTCAGTAAGGACATGCTCCATTCTCGTTCTTGTACTCTCAGCTGAACTAATCTCAGCTACAACAGGTCCTCGTTATATAGTCTCCGCACGTACCACATAGAAAACACAAGTCATGTGATTGCTACACAGCTAATTCATTAGCGCGCTGACTACTGCGTAGCAACGAATTATAATATTCGTCCATTGACACATAGTTTCCATTGTTGCGCGTTGCATCCTGTTTATCCAGCTGTTACCTAGAAACGGGTTGCATAACCACGTTGTTATATTGTTGCTTGCGTGTATTAATTAGGAACGCCTGTTTTTTGCATGGGGCAAATACGCTACAATATTTAGACTATCAAAGTCAAAGTCACACTGCGACTGACGGTCAGTCAATCAGTAAGTCTTGGTGGCGAGCCCCACTGGGTCTTATGACCAGATATTTATTACGGTTTGGCAGTTACGGTGGTAATTGACCTTTGCGCTGTAAAGTTTGCAAATAAATAAATAAAAAAATAAGTAACATTATTATTAATATTGATATTATCGTCATCATTACCATTCAGATGATATAAACTGTTTCGTTTGTCTTTAATTTGTGTGCGTTTCTATTTTGTTTCCTGGCTACATATCCAGAGGCCCCGGGTTCGATTCCCCGCGCTACAAGTTTTTCTGACAAGTAGTGGGTCGGGAACGGTGTCCACTCAGCCTCGTGAGGATAACTGAGGAGCTATTTTAAGGAAATAGCGGCTCCGGTGTAGAAACGCGAAATTAACGGCCGTGGAGATCCGTTGCGCTGACCACGCGACACTCTCTATCCGCTAAAGTTGGCACTAACTTCGCGGACAAGTGGCGGTCTCTCGGTCGATATAGTTCGTTTGCGGACGACAGGCCATGGAGTTTGTTTTGTGTTATTTATAACAATGTCTACTTTTTAATCGGTCATTGGCATGTTAAAACTGCAGGTAAATAAATAAAGAAATGAATAAATAAATACAGAAACTTTAGTGGATTTTCACATCTTGGTTCTCTCCATAATCATTTTTACGGCAGAACGCATGCTTTGTCTGTCATAATCGGTGTACTCGTGTCATACCTGAAAACCGAGTTTCTCACATCGGTAACAACGAAGAATAAATTCTGTACTATAGGATGTGACACCATGTATTCTGCCACAAATTTACTGAGGTTTTAGGTGAAAGTACCACTTCCATCTTGAGGGTTGGAGAATAAGCTTAATAAAGCAGCAAACATGCTCTAGATATATGTATAAACTTTATCGGACAACATGGCGACTCATCTCAAAACACAGCATATTCTTAAATGTATCATAACTAAACGAATAATGCATATTACATATCTTGACTTTGAAACATAAACTTGTCTGTTTTTGTTACAGTTGTCCATGAACTTGGTACCGGATGCGAGTATGACGAACAGTGTTCATATAAATTGGGACAGGCTGTGTGCATACGTCATCAGTGTCAGTGTGCTGTAGGGGCCAGCCTGACTAAGGATAAAACTTGCAGTAAGTTTCACAATTCCAGGCGATACCACGAATTTTTAAGCTCAAATATCTAGCAAATTGCTGTCGTCAAAGCTGAAAGTAAGATGATGTGGTCCATTATGCGGTACCAATAAAAGAGTAAGTGCCTGTATTGTCCGGTCTAGAATTCATTACCCACCCCAAACGCACACACGAATAATAACCGCCACTACGGAACACAATGCTACTACCAGATTTTCTCTTTAGATTTTCTGTAATGTACGACATGAATGCCTTAGAAACAAAATTATTGTGTGCGAATATTTCAAGTTTCCTTTTGGATATAATGCAGTATTGCCCTTTGAAATTATATCGATATTTCAGCGGAATATGTAGCCTCCATTTTCAGGACTGAAGAGACTTTGCTTCCTGCCTCCTTCGTGTTGGGTTCTTGCTTGGTTTACTCTTCAACCCTGAAGATGGAGACGGCATGTTCCTCCGAAGAGTCTGCTGCCTTCCAACAGACTACATGGAGTTATGTTTCAAAACACAGAACTCGTCATAATGCAAGCTGTGAGGGTTTCAAATCCTATACACTGCAAATGAAATTTCTATTTCCATATTTAAAGAGGCAAAATTCTTTCTTTCGTGAACATAATTTTAAATCAATATATCATAAACACAGTTCTCTTCATTCTGAATATTTTGGTACTTTTGTCCTCTATCACATGTCCTTTGGAAGAAAAATAAACATACCTTAGAAATTTTATTAATTAATGTACAAAATGAGTAAAGTTTAGACCATTCACCTGGGACACTCCAGTTTATACCTGTTCTCAATACCTGATCTTAGTGGTAGCAATGAAACTTTTACTGATTACTTGAGAAAGCTCTTTTAGAGAAATTTCAATCTCACCTTACTGCAAAATGGATTTATACACTGCAGAAATCTAAATTATGTACGAGGAAATTTAAACACAAATGTACTACGTTCAACTTCTAAAGACTGAATTTTTTAAATAACATAAAAAGATTCAGATAGACTTGAAAGGATTCTGACGATGGTGTATACTGTACTTCTTTTGGCTTATTTTGGACTTCACCCATCGTCCGGTATATAAAAGACAAAAAACCACGACGTTTCGGAGACTGGATCTGTCTCCGTCCTCAGGTGGATAGGGAAGGTTAAACCTACTCAGTTGGGCCCCTTAGAAAGAGCTAGTCCAGTGATTGAGACTAGCTCTTTCTAAGGGGCCCAACTGAGTAGGTTTAACCTTCCCTATCCACCTGAGGACGGAGACAGATCCAGTCTCCGAAACGTCGTGGTTTTTTGTCTTTTATATACCGGACGATGGGTGAAGTCCAAAATAAGCCAAAAGAAGTACAGTATACACCATCGTCAGAATCCTTTCAAGTCTATCTGAATCTTTTTATGTTATTTAAAAAATTCAGTCTTTAGAAGTTGAACGTAGTACATTTGTGTTTAAATTTCCTCGTACATAATTTAGATTTCTGCAGTGTATAAATCCATTTTGCAGTAAGGTGAGATTGAAATTTCTCTAAAAGAGCTTTCTCAAGTAATCAGTAAAAGTTTCATTGCTACCACTAAGATCAGGTATTGANTATATATATATATATATATATATACATATTCTGAGAGGGGTCAGATGGAGCTCTGACCTGTCGTTAATTTGGGACTCGCGCCCCACTCTTAGAGCCGCATAAATATTTAGAGTATCAGGTTTTGTATCATATAAAAATATAAATATTAAATATTAATATTATTTTTATGTGTTATAACAGCGACCAGTTAAGTCTTATTACTGCATAACTTTAACAAATATCAAATAACACTGAAGAGTTGTGTGTGGATTTGATGTATGTTTATTATCAGCGTAGAATACATTGTAGCCCTACGTATCCAATTTATCTAAAATGAGGAACTACCGGAAATACAGAATATCGTTTCTCTCTCTGCAATAGCAATATTTTCTTTTCTTACAAGTAAATTGAAGACTGTGGGTATCAGCTTATTGCGTATAAGTCCTTTTTCTGAATGTTGCTGTTAAGTGTACACAGCGTAATATTATAGTCTTGTTGACATACATAATACTAATTGATCTAGTAATTTTAATGTAAGGAAACTGGTAACAATGTCTAAAACATTCTTATTACCACATTGTTAGAATTTCTGTACAGCCAGACTCATCTGGTGTGGTTTATAGAGCCAGAGTTCAGTACCTCATTTGAAATTGCTCTCTCATTTAACTCATTTTTGTGTTTCAGGTGCAGCAGTTAGCAGCGTCATATCCCTTTCATGCTTTCTGCTGATCTGGCTAGTGAAAGTAATATCTTGAATATCAAGATACACCACAAATTCCAGTGTAATACTATGTATTAATCACCAGTTCTTTATATTCCACCCATATGAATGTTTGTGTTTCTGTAACTAGTATGTAGATTAGTATCATACATTGGAACAGAGAATAAAGTGTCTTAACAGTATATAAACTAAGCTCTTAATTAATTGTACCTAAACTTTCACATTTATTCAACAATGATTAGAATGTTAGCTTGAAAATACAGACAGTCCTGAGACCATATTTCTGGAATTATTTCATGGCGTTTCCAAGTACTCTCCAGGTTTACACAAAGATCCGTTCTAGGGTCTCTGCTTATCAGCGTGTATATAAACGAATTATATAATATAATTAAGGATTCCAGGTGTGTATTCTTTGCAGAAGACAAAAACGCTTCTGAAGATGGCATTTTTCTGTAATCTAATATATATTTTATAAGAGGTTGGTGTTCTGAGAATTATATGAAATTAAATATTGATAAAAGTCAAGTTGTAACCTCCCCTAGGAAAAAAGGTGTCTTGATCTACGAGTATAAAACTTTTAGTCCACTGTAACCCTCTGCTGAAGACCTGGGAGTATTTCTAGATTCTAAGCTTTAATTTCATAATCGTGTCAATTTTATATTTTCTCGTTGTATTAAACTGCTATAACTAGTTCACAGCTTAACATTAATCTTCTCAACTCGTTGAATGAATTTTCATATTATTCTTTACATTAGTTAGATTTAAAGTTAAATACCTATATGAAGTTTGGAATTCTATTACATCTAAGGATGGTAACAATCTTGCATGTATGCAGCAGAAGTTTGCGGCCATCAGTTCTAATCGCTTCTTTCCTCAATATGACTACAGTTATATTCTTCCTTCAGAGCAGTTAAAGCCGCTTCTGCTAGGTTTGCTTCAGCTGCTAATGAAGTTTGTAGTGATATAGATGTATCTGGAACAAAAGCTCAGTCTCTCAGACAAGTTTTATAATTTGTTCTCACAATTATCAATTATTTTAAAAAATCCTTTGCTCAGTATTAATACATGCCTATGTTTTATATACGACCGCCTCTGTTTTCTAGTAGTCACAGTTCCTGGCTACAAAGCCAGAGGCCCCTGGTTTCGATTCCCGTCGCTACCAGATTTTCTGAGAAGTAGTAAGTCTGGAACGGGGTCCACTCAGCCTCATGAGGATAACTGAGGAGCTATTTCAAGGACATAGCGGCTCCGGTCTTGAATACTAAGATTAACGGCCGTAGGGATCCGTTGCGCTGATCATGTGACACTGTCTATCCGCAAAATTTGGCACTAACTTCGTCGACAAGGGGCAGTCGCTCGGTCGGTATAGTTCGCTTGCGGACTACAGACCACAGAGTGTATATATATATACGGTTCTCTTCTTACTGCAGTGTGGCTATAAAGGTGATACCAATTGAATCATATTGTATAAACGATACATGTTGTCTACTTTTGGCCTACGCACTCACCCTCATGGAGCTGAGCCCTTCTTGAGAAGCTGCCAATTTTACAGCAATTTTGCCTGTGGTTCTATATGGGCGTGAAACTTGGTCTCTGACATTAAGGGAGGAACATAGACGGAGAGTGTTTGAGAACAGGGTGTTGAGGAGAATATTTGGACCGAAGAGGGATGAAGTGATAGGAGGTTGAGGAAAACTGCATAGTGAGGAGCTTCATAACTTGTACTCTTCTCCAAGTATAATTAGAATGATCAAGTCAAGGAGGATGAGGTGGGCAGGGCATGTAGCACGAATGGGGAGACGAGGTATGCATATAGGATATTGGTGGGAAAGCCAGAAGGAAAGAGACCACTGGTAAGACCAAGACGTAGGTGGGTGGACAGTACTAGAATGGATCTTCGAGAGACAGGATGGGATGGTATGAACTGGATAAATCTGGCTCAGGATAGGAACCAGTGGAGGGCTCTTGTGATCACGGTAATGAACCTTCGGGTTCCATAAAATGCTGGGAAACTCTTCAGTAGTTGTAAAATTGACGGTTTCTCAAGAAGGGCTCAGCTCCATGAGTGAGTGAATATTTCACACTACGGTAAGGGTAATTATTTATTTATTATTGATGTTTATTCCTGTTTGTCCCTCTGGAGCTTAGGGAATCTGTGGAACGCTTCGTTTCACTTCAGTTTCTTAATCTTAGAGACAGTCAGTATGCCTCCTTTGATGGGGATCAGCAAGCCTAAGTGATTCGGAGAAATTCTCCAAAAATCACAGGATTAAATATGGCAGACTGAAATTCGATAAATTTTGGAATATTCATCTGCGGATTTATTGCGGCTGAAACTATGAATTAACGTTATAAGAGCAAAGGGATGTCAGAGAGGTTATAGAATGCCTCAATGGCTGTTACCGTCTTCGTTTGAAACTGCTAAGTTCCTAATTGAGTTCCGGCATTAATTTCATTTAGTCTCTCCTATTCTTTAAGGTCTCGGTTCTATGAGGTTGATTCAGTAGTGGCTAAAATGCTGTTGAACGATTCCGTACCCTACACTCATGCCAATTACTATACTGCACCTCAGTTTATATTTCAATCTCGTGAGGGCGGTAATTCATTCTCAGTTTTGGGGGAGGGGGGCTGGATTTAACACGCTCAGAACGTGATTCTACAATAAGCCTGTACACAGGATATGGACTGTGTTATTTTGAAAACTGAGGAAAACACTTCCTGGTTAGTAATTGGGGGGGGGCAGAAATCGAGCTACCTTGTGTTTGAAGAAAGCAGTCTTCTGGGATTTGGCACCGTGTATATGTGGTGTTAACCGACGTTTCGGAGGAACGTATCGCCTCCATCTTGAAGACTGATTTTACCGGTTCTCACGGCCTCTTCGCTTGCGGATTTCTTATATTTTTCCTTCTACCCTGAAGATGGAGCCCATACGTTCCTCCGAAACGTCGGTTAACACCACATATACACGGTGCCAAATCCCAGAAGACTGCTTTCTTCATAGTCACCGCCGTGAAAACCTCAAATCTTATATACCTTGTGTTTGTTTTTACAAAATGTATTCGTCTGTCTTGAATACTTCAGGACCATCAGTAAAAACAGTCTTAAACCGCTTAAACATTAAGTTCATATGTAAATGCTCTAGCTGCCCCCCCCACTGGAAAAGATCTGGAAGCTCCCGTGGCCACGGACCTTGACCTGCACCTCACTTACGTGTCTGTCCTACGATTTACAGACCTTAAATTCTATCTTCTTGTAATTTGATGGCATCTAGTCTCAGCAATTGATACAGCGTTAATTAACCAGATAAACACGACAGACGCTCGCAGGCTCCATACTGTGAACATTTCAGCAAAATGTTTACGTTTAAGGAACAAGTAACTTGCCTGCGCGTTGCCAACTCAAGGGCTTTTCTATCCACTGTACTAACGCCTACTAGAGGGCGAGGCGCGTCTGTGATGGCGGCCAGGTTTGCATGTAAAGCGCAACAGGTAAATCCCCTACCTTGAATAGTAGGCGACTTTCAGACCTCAGTCTGACTTGGCTGCTCACTGCACACGCCATGAAAACTTGGTTACTTACTGCACACGCCATGAAAGCATGCACAGTGGTCATGATCATTTGTATCCTAATGATGTCGTCGGCACAACAAAACGTGACAACAGAAGACTCAAGTAAGTACTCACAGATGCGAGTGCGCTAACAATCAGCTTATGAAACGTACTGCACATTTACAGTAACACAGTAGGATTATGTTTAGGTAGGCCTATAGAATACATGTTTGCAAATGTTGATAAGCAGCTAAGAAATAATATTGACAGTTCTTTATTTTATTTAACAGCGATTTATCGGCTATATGGGTTATATAACGACAGTTGGAAGGGTAATTGCGAACGATGAATTAAAAATGATATAAAAGGAAGTAGTCATCGAGTATTTTGTTGAAGCGCCTGTGGGAAAGCTGAAGCGAGACATCCAACATATGTGTGTTATAACTGGACTAGGGATTTTGTGCAGCAATTGGCAGCACTGGTACTATTAAACTCATTACGTCACGTGACTACACAATCGATCTTATGTCAAGCAATCGATGGGTTTCTTTTTCAGTTGGAATGCTGTTTTATTGGTATAGTTTTTGCTTTTTTAAATTTTATTGGTAAAATTTTGGAACAGAGAATCATGATTAATTTATTTTGTGAAACTGGAGAAAAATAACAGTACAGGTGTGTGTAAAGGGACCATTGCGTGGAACGTATATATTTCGTGTTTTAAACGATTCGAAGACGCCACAAATGACGATATCTGACTGTCCAATCATGTCAAAAAACTGATTCAAATGTGAAGAAGGTGGCTGAAATGTTAAGAAATGATGGTCGATTGACCGACCATTTGGAAAACAGCAGACGAAAAGGAATACGAAGGGCCAAATTGTGAGACCGACCGACTTTGACAAAATATCTGTACATGAATAAAATCTCTTCCTGAATAGTACTAAAGAAAACTGTTTTGTAAAAGAACTCGTACATTGACAGAATACAGTAACAGATTCACACATATCTGACCGATCCAGTTTTTTTTTTTTGTTTATTTTTGTTTAAGAATTTCACTGTTCAATCCTAGAACCCCAATTTTTAGTTCTAGCCTGCTTTTCAGTGTTACCTTGCATATGTTATGAAATTACACAATATATTTAAAAATTAATATGTTACAAAGTTTTGTGCTCTATTTACGTAATAACAAAGTACTGATAATTCTTTTAGAAGTTTATTATTGTATAAATAAATTTCCTTGTTTTCCTCATAGAAAATTCAAATTTCTTTATAGTTTATCATACGGATGTCTGTCTCTTTCAGATATTATAACTCCAGAACAAATATCGGTGATGGGTAAGTGAAAATATTAGAATTAGGTTTACAGTACCATATGTAATCGTGATAAATTCTTCAGAAGATTTTAATTCTAACGTAATCTGGTGTTAATAATCTCTGGTTAGGGCTTAATATCTTCGTACTACGGAAGCTTAAATTCAAATGTTTTGTGTAGTTTAATCATTGTAAGGTGAACGGAGAAGTTCATGGAGGTAGGCCTAGGCCCACTGGGGCTGTAGTGCCAAGGAAAAAAAATCATTGTAACTACATCCAACAGAATCACTGAAACGCTGATAGCGATTTAGCTAGCCCCAAAAATTCTCCGTATTTTATTGAACCCGAAATTTCATTGCTGTCTTCATAAGACTCCGCCACTGAACCTATCCCTAGCCGCTTGAAACAAGTTCACATTCTCACACTCTTTAGTTCAAGATTAGTTTTAATATAATCTTACCATCTATGCCAGGCATGTCAAACTCAACTTGTACAGAGGGATACCTCAGCCCTATAAATAATAGTCCAGGGCCACACTTCACAATGGAAATATACATTAGATTTTGATACAAGAAAATTTAATTCTATTTATTATTTAGAAATAGTTTCAATATAATTACCTAAAGTCACATATCTTACAGTTTTAAAAAGCAAGAAAATGCCATTTTTGACAAGTATCAAACAGCTTTTCAATATGTAAAAATAGAGATTACACAAGAAATTATGTTAGAAATAGCAAAACATTCAATTTCCTGCTGCCTGCTAATTTATGTCTGCGTGAGACTTCTTGTCTTCTGGTCTGTTGGAAAATTGTCTTTACAAAAAATATTTCTACTAAAATTTTAATATTGATTTTAATATCAATTAGCTCTAAAAGTTGAGGGGCCGCACTTTGCGGCTATGGGGGCCGCATGTTTTACACGGCTAATCTATGCCTAGGTGACAAATTTAGCGAACAGAGTGTGTCGCTTGGTCGGCGCAACGGATCTCCACTGCCGTTAATTTAGGTTTTCTAAACCGGAGCCGTTATTTCCTTGAAATAACTCCTCAATTATCCTCACGAGGTTGAGTGGACCCCATTCCAGACCCACTACTTCTCAGGAAATCTGGTAGCGCCGTGAATCGAACCCGGTCCTCTGGATCTGTAGTCAGGAATTCTGACCACTAACTTCACCGACAAGAGGTGGTCGCTCGGTCGGTATAGTTTGATTGCGAACTAAAACCACTGAGTGTGTTTGTTCTACGCCTAGGTACCCCAAGTGTTCTCTTTCCAACATGTCTTCCAAGAAATTTTATGTGTAATTTTCTCATGTTTTCCAAGCGAAGTTCTTAAAGTACGTATATATACTTAGTGCTATATGCTACCTGTATTTAAAGCAAACCAATATTCTGATTGCCTGCCTTTACATATATCTGGTGCAAAATCCTTGTCTATCTATCGACGGATATTCAGGGGCTCCATAAAATTCCTTTCCTTACACCAATAGATTTATTGTATCACCATGAACTACTCGTCTTATACATAGCCCCCTCAACACAAATCCAAAATTTATGTCCCATTTCTGTAAGATCTGTTAAAATATCTCCTTTGTCTTCTATGCCTAAGACTTCCAAGTTGCTTCTTTGCATAAGATACTTCAGTAAAATCTCTATATGGGTTTACCTTCTCAAGTCAAATTTTCCAGCTCAGTAGGCAGTTCTTTGACACAAATTTAAAGATGTCATTCTGCTAACATATCGGACGTTCGCATGATTGCCTCCCGACGAGGGTGAAATAAGAAACATGGCGGTGTCTGCTCTTCACACATGTTTAATAAAGAACAAACTTGAATGATTTACGTTACTGAAATACAGGGAGGGTTCTTACTTTGTTGACCAGTTCCCCCGGTTCTGGGTTTCACGGCGATCGATGTGAATTGTGTGAACTCCAGTAGCAATTATTTTCCGTATTTCTTCATATCCCCGCAAGTGAAACCACGCTTCATCAGAAAAGAATGCCAACTGCGGTTCGATCTCACCTTCGATCTTAGACAGTAGAAACCAACTGCAAAAATGGACCCTGCTAGCTGGCTCGCACGGCTGCAAGGCGCGCGTGGATTATTATTGTTTTATACGCTCTAAGCTTCAGCAATTGTGTTGCCGTTCTTGCACTAGACATTGACACTCCAATCTCTTGAGCTAAACGCTTCAGTGATTTTCTAGGTATATGTTCAAGCCTGGCTCCTGTGTCACCTAACTTCTCCTCAGTAAGTACTCGACGCTCATGTCTTCGTTTCCTGTCTATTTGGAGTCCCGTTATTCTAAATTTATTCACTAAATTGTAAATCATTTGTCTGATGGGAACTCTTTCAGCACGAAATTTATGTCGAGATTTTCGCCGACACTGTCTAGCAGATCCGTACTTCACATGAGTAACATATATAAATATACTTTCCTCTCAAGTATACCGCAACATGACGTAATACATTGCTCACTAACTTTAACTGAGAACAATTGGCTATTGGAACTGATAACCGCTGCTTCATCCATCCATTCATTCGTTCATTCATTCATTCATTCATCCATCCATTGATTCATCAATTGTACTTCAGACCTCTGTTGAACCCTGGCCTCTCCTTCAGTTACATAATAATTTTTCACAGACGGTAGGACTCCTTGGACGAGTGATCATCCTGCCGCAAGGTCGTTACCTACACATAGGACAACAAAAACACATAATAAACGCAAACACAGATATCAATGCTTTTGAGTGGGATTCGATCCCACGATCCCAGCGATCGAGAGAGCGAAGACGGTTGATAACTGCAGCTTACTGCTGACAAATCATAAACTAACTCCCACGCATGAACCCCACTACACGTGGTTAAACATAATGCTGTCAAGTGGTCCACAAGTTAATTACTTCCCTTAATTTCACACGTTATTGGCCATCAGGTATGTTGATTCGCAGGCAAAATTCGCATGCGCCTGGCGACAAGCAGCGCACCGGTCGCCGTGGAGCGCAGAGCCGCGAAACGGTCAACAAAGTTAAAAAAACTCTCTGTACACGCAGGTAAGATTAAGATTCTGTTATTATTAATGTCTGATGAATGGAGACATTTTGAAGTGTAGTGCAAAGAGAGTTATAGGTAAGAGTGGGAGAACCTGTGTAAATACCAAACCAAATGTCGCATTCGAGTTGCTGGCACACCTGCTTTGGAGGGGGTCTCGGGATCGAATACAGGTTAAGTGACCAGTTATCCTAACTGAAGAGTTGGTTAGTCGCTGGCTTCCCACCGCGGCAGCCCGGGTTCGATCCCGGGTCTGGTCAAGTGGGATTTGTGGTGGACAAAGTGGATCTGGGGCGGATTTTCTCCGAGTACTTCGGCTTCCCCTGTCAACCTTCATTCCACCAAATTCTCCATCATCATAATCACCCGGGGCAGGCTACAATAGGCCAATCAGTGGCCGCTGTGCCGAGTGGACCCAGTTGGACTCAACCCCCACTAAGCGAATTAATTAACTGAGGAGTTCCGTAGTGTTCCTCGGCTCTTCCAGGCAAGACCTTAAATTAGGCAAGGACTGCTTCCCTTCACATCTTTTCCAATTCATTATCAAGTCCTCCATTCATTTCACAGTTTAGGCGTATATAAGTTACTGAATGCTCAGTAAAACAGAATAAATAAATAAATTATATTAAACAAATAAGGACACAAATATTCAGGTTAGAGGGCTCTAAATATGACCGAAGGACATAAATATACGTTTGCAGAGAAGTTCTTATCATTTATGATCCCATCCTCACGATAATCATCATAAGCACCGCCATTATTGGACTTAGCCGTAACATGCTTTGTCCACAAAACACAATTTCTGCATATTTACAGAGATCTTCTTCTGGTGACATGTTCTTCACAATGTTAACTTAGCTCCTTACTTCAGCATGGAATTTTGTAAAGCCTCCTATTAAAGGGCAAGTTGTAACGTAGTTGTTGAGGCACTATGCTACAAGCCGGAAGGTCGCGGTTTCGACTCCCAGCGAGGTGGACTTTTTTTTTAATTTACGTAATTCTTCCAGTCGCACCATGGCCCTATGGTTGACTCAGCCTCTAGCATAAATGAGTACCAGGAATCTTCCTGAGGGGCGGTAAAGGGCGGACGGCGCCTAAGGCTGACAACCTTACCGCCGTCTGTGTAATTTTCTAGAGAAAATGTGGGAGCCTCGAAGTCTCACAACCCTATGGGCCTTCGCAGTCTGTTACAGGGATAGCTTTACCCTTTCTTACCGCCTATCTTAATAAAAATATTATCAAGGAAAATACATAAAAGAACTCTGTGAATTATTTCCTTCTTCCCAGAAATGTTCCGACTCGACAGTGCTAAACAGTGGGCCCATGACCAGTAAGATGTTCCTCGGAAATTAATGGAAAATTAGAAGGTAGTGATCCTGCTTTTTATAATTCCATCCTGAATCATTCAATCGCCCTGACTCAAAATAGAACATCTGAATATTTTTTGATGGTGTGGTTGTTTTTAGCAACGGCTCTCCACTGCTATAATAAACAAGATATGACGGTCATAAATTTTATGGAGGATCTAGAAATAGTCGGCCGTGACCTTTTTGAGTATATTCTACTGGAAAGTTTCATCACATTGCAACTCAACACGGTACACATAAAATGAGCTGTATTGGAGAGCCTGGGCAGGCGCAGATCCACGAAAAACTAACTTAGAACAGTCGATAATGCAACCAAGATATAAGACTGGTACCTCTTATACAAAGTGTAAATAAATGTATGTTACAACGCTCTGTGTTAGATAAGTGGGTTCAATCTGATCATATTTTCTTACTACACCCATGTCCGGAAACGCTTCCTTTTGGCACTAAGGGCCACAAAAGTTTCCGAGACGATGCATAAGTTTGAGGGGATACTGTCCCTGTTTTACATTATAAAAGTTACTCAAAATGTTGGCTGCCGAATTCATTGCATGTTCTGCACCGCTTGGTAATGTTATCCCGAACTCTATGAAAGTTTCCCGGCATT